TCTCGTATCAACATTCGATGACTTGACGTCGACGAGTCGACGTTGACGACAGTTGCGTCGGACCCAGTTCGGCCGAAGCACAGCAACAGCGGCAGCCGTCGACTTTCCGTGATCCACTGAAGCATACCACATAGTAATTGCTGTTTGACAATATGCCTATATTTAGCGCTCAACAGCTTGATCAAAGCTCCGAAAAGAGCTGCTTCGTACATGAGCATGAGCTTACGAAGCCATTAGACCCTCGGCACTCGGGCTCATCGTCTTCGAATTCGGCGGTTCACTGAGTTTACTGCAGTAATAGCCGCCACCGATCGCGGCTTCCGACGTTGCCACTGTATCCGCCGTCACAGTCAGCCATCCAGGGACCAAGTTGACAGGTTTGCTGCCCGCCCGCCAGCCCGCCCGCCCGCTCGTCTGTGTGTCTGTCCGTCCGTCCGCGTCTAGGTAGGGCTGTCCAAGTGACTCCAATGCAGGTTGACTTGGTTCGCTGACTCTCTGACTGGCGCTGCGACTGGATCGCTGACATTGGATCGACAGACGAATCAGTCGGTCCGACCGTTCTCCCATCCGTCCGTCAGTCAGTCAGTGATTCAGTCAGTCAGCTGGTCGGTCGGTCGGTCCTGGCTCCGTGGTTGGTCGCTTGGACGGCGAACTATTGTTCCTCGGCTCGACTGTCGGGACGTCTACGAGAGATCGTCGAAAACCTTTAGGTGTTCTAAACATCGAATTGTCTCCGTGAATTCGCCATCACCACGTGCCGCAGGTGTTTGGGCCCGGGACTGCGTTGTTGGTAGGCGAGAGCATCGGTGAGCTCCGTTTACTCTCTCTGACCTCCGTCGAGCCAAGTGTCCGTTGCCGAAGCCGCTCTCACTGCGGACAGTGGCGTAAAAGGTTCTCGCCGGTGAAACGTTGCGTGCGCTTGAAACTTTCTAATCTCCACCGCAGCGGCTGCGCCTACTTCTGTTCCCAGATGCTTCTGAATACTGTTGATTATCATGGAAATGATTATGGACAAGCTCATGGATGAATTGAGCTCGCATCCACATTTGTGAACCCTAGAGTTCTCGGAGCTTGATCCCCCGTGACGTTGACTCGGTGCGATTCCTGTAGAAAGTGAGTACCACCTGGCGAAAGTGCTCCATACCGAAAACCCACTGGAGTACATCGACTCGGATGCCCACGGCTCAGCTCGTTCCAGGCATTCGAGTCGTGTAGCAGTTGCAATTTGCAATACAAGATTCGTTGATCAGAGAACCAAGGTACTTGAAAGAAACTCAAATCGGAATCCTCAAAATGCAGCAGAATCTCGCGCGAGCCCTGTGATTGGTGAGCTTTCTAAATCTATACACACTAAGCTCAAGCTGCGGTGAATGAAATCGAAAGGATTGAATAATTCATTCGTTCGTTCGATGTAAACTGAGACGGACTGCAGCGGCGCACTACTCGGATTCCCGACGAATCGAACGGGATGCGTTTCCTCGGAGCGACACACGACTCGGAGTCGTCTCTGAAGCGGCTTTCGGCGTTGGGGGGTTCTGCATACCGAACACCAACGTACGTCTTCATTCCTAGCTGCTGCGATCTCGAGAATCGATGTACCCCCGAATAACACGCGCGAAGAATCTCTCGTAACGAGCTTCCTGCAAAAGGAGCGCTGCAAATTCGAGACTTGCCCGCATTGAGATCTTTCCAGGCGGAGCGCCACGCGTGCGATGAGCATCAAACCCATCATTACATACCTCTCTGACTTGTGAAGTTTTGCGAGGGTTTTTTTCCGCGAGAAGATTGAGACGCGAGAAGTCCGTCTATCTAGATAGCGCTTCATAGCGAGATCGGTCTACCCGGGGTTCCTTACACATACCGTCCTAGGGGAAATCGTAGTATGCGCGGGAAACGATGAGCAGAAGAGCCTCCCGGCGGCATGGTCGGTTCGCGAAAATCCTGCGCACTGTCTGTCCTCTTCACTGATCGAGCGAGAAGAGTCTTCCCCGAGGAGGCATTGTTTTCGATGAGCGAGCATCTAGGTGATTCAAGAATCGCTCCTCGTCTCCCTCGATCGTCACGCTTTTTCATGCGAATGGAGCACGGTACCGGACGTCTCCCCGACACGGTTCCGAGTGCTCCCTGTCTGACAACACCGAAAAGCGAACCGTCACGGTTGTGTCATTGGCTTTGAGGTTCTCATCAGACTCCGGAAACGAGTTCGGTGCCGCAGTCTTGATCGACCCAGCCAACCTCACCGACGTGACCGATGAAGGATGAGCTGGGGCTTTCTGACTTTTCCTCTGCCCCGGAATGAAATTTTTCGTCTGCCCTGAAATGCTACTCAGACCGGTCCTGCGAAGAGTCGCGACGGACAAGCCGTGAACGATCGAGCGAGTCAGTGGAATGAGCCTGTTCGCCCTGGAGAGACCGTCCCTGCTCTTAGACACAGATATCTGTAAATATTTGGGCAGTTGATGAAGTGCCTACATGAAAGAACAGCCTACGCTTCTTGCGACAACGATGAGGACGCCTTGCTCGTTTTCCGCGATGCCGGCTGTTCCGCCTGCACTCCGCGGTGCGCTCGACCGACCGACCGAACGACGAGTCGAGCCGGCAGCTCTTAGTCGTTGACGTTTTTTTGCCGTTGATGGTATTTATCGAAGATCGATGATGAAGCTCAAGTTTTTTTCCCGAGATTATCTCATACCATCCCCAGAGACACGAGAGGTTGACCTTGGAGTCCCATCTGTTCGCTCATTCTTTCTCTAGCCCGATCGTTCTTTCGCTCGTTCTTACGCTCGTCTCAATTTGACGCTCGAAAACACACATGGAGCGCTTCTCTCAATTAGGTACTTGAATTGATCGCTGTCCCCTCACAAAAGTTCCCTATAGAGACTGGAGAGGGAGCCTCGAACGTGAAGATAGCGCTTGGCAGCTCGGCGTGGGATTCTCTCGCGCGATGCTCTCCGGGTGATCCCTCGTTCCCAGACACTCGGTCGGCTTCCCAATCGGAGAAATTCTCCGAGCTCGTGGGGTTACTTGAAGAATCAGGCTCACGTGAACGACAGCTGAGATCGATGAAGGAGTTTTCATTCCAGTTTCCGTCTCTCCTTCGACAGGATATATCTCGGAGAGCGGTTTTGATCCAGAGTGTTGGCGACCCGTGCGCTCTCGATAGCGATTCCATTGCTCTTTAAAATCGCGAGTCGATACCGGCACGAACACGAAAGCGTGCGTCGTGCTCCGCGGGAAAAATCGTTCGTTGAGACAGAGGCGCTCGAGAGGATAGCACTCCACAAAGATCCACCGGAAAATCCCTCGACGATGTATCTCCAGGCGGAGAAAGTCGATGTCTCAACTCCGACGCGCACACGGCCGTGATCAGCGAAAATGGCTCAGATCGTTTTCAGACTTCTGTGAAGAGACTTAGCATTCCAGAATCGACATACCCCTCACAATAAAAAGCGACTCTCGATTGGAGAATAATCGGATATTCGAAGACTGATAACGGTCGAATATTGAAGTAATTAGGACTGTGTTCAGCCTCACGGATTCACGAGCTGTTTCACTCAATCGTACGAGATCGATTCCGGCACTAGAACCGGGCCGATTAGGATCGGGATACCTCTCTCCCGATTCACGAGACCTCTTCGCATCCGTACGGTACGGGGGATCCATTTTTGCATCAATGGACTAGCGCAAAGAGTCGTGGAGGCGTAAATGCGTGATTTTTCCACCCCATGGAGTTTGCTTTGTTAGAGGTCGCTTCGGCGAGTCTGGAGCGGCTCCAACGGATTTTCTTCGCTGCGGAAGCCGCTTAAGCCTACTTATCGGCCATTTTTTTGCCAGATCCCCTCATTTCTGGATATGCGAATCCCTGACAATAAAACGGCTCTCTCTTCTGAACTATGAAGAATATTCGGCGTAAATAATAATGATGATGTTGAGCGTATCTCTCCCAGTCGGCTGCAGCCATAGGAAACTTGATTGAGTTCGTCATTTCACGAATCACTTGACTTTTTGTCGGGAGGTTCCAGTTTGGCTCTCCGAGCGCAAAGCCCGGGGAAACCGGCCTGGAAGCGGAAATTTGACGGAAGCTTATTGCGTCCTCGGAAAATAATGGCCAAATGCTTCGTCGGTGTTGAAAGTTTTTTTCCCTTCTCCAACGCCGCGAACGTGCTTCGGGCTAGGAATTTTCGCGAGGCTCGCTCCACGCTCCGTCTATCCATCAAAATATCCGACGAAACGACGAGTACGGAAGCGGAGCCTGATTGTCGATTGATACGCCCGATCACACAACCTCTGTCTTCCCCGTCACGTAATAAGACCAGTTCCATTGTGTTTAACTGATATTTTCCCATGATTCGCCTCGTGATCGCTCACACGATGCGCGGAAGGCTCCTAGATTCTACTCTGCGATGCCTCCCGCTCTAGATAACGAGGGAGAAGAACGCAAGACCGTTGCGCTCCTCAGTTCAGCGCTCCTCTCATTTGCTCGATGTAATGGACTGAAAACGCTAAAATCCGACAGAACGCTTTCGGGTGCTCTTATTATTAGATTCAGGCTCGGCGTAGATCATTGTTCTATATCTTCCCGTCAGATCAGATGCTCGCTCCGCAGATGGTTGGGTCGACTCATCGTGGAGAGGAAATTCAAAAGTTTTATGGTTCCAGGCGTCGACGGAGTTTGGACTGATGGCGAGCTGAGATCGCCATGGGTGCGAATTTTCAACAACTCCAATAAATGGCCGGTGACCTCACGCTGAGGAGAACACTGAAGGCCCGACGAAGACGACGACGACCAGCGACCGCATCGGCTGGTGATGCCGCAGGGCAACTCGTAGCACCCTGCGCGGGAAGCCCTCGTGGCGGAGGGCGACTGAACTGAAAACCAACTGAGACGGTCAGGGAGGGAGAGAACTATCCGTCGAGGGCAGTCAAACCAGGAAAAGAAGCGATTAGATCACGCCGCTGAAAAAAAATTCCCTCCAGCAACAGGAAAAAAACGGGGGAAAATGACGAAAGCTTACGAATTCAACTGGAAAAAAGCCGTACCGGAAGCGCTTCTGCAAGGCTGCATTTTCGATCGTTGGGAAGAGGTGAGTACGTCTCGAGTTCTTCCTCAATTTGTTATTTCAGGCAGACCTCGCTCGGAAAGCGTCGCGTCGCTCCCTGTCCTCGATATACAGTCTAGTTTTTCTTGATAAATGATCCTCTCCATGATATGAATCTTCGCAAGTCGTCCATGCGATCACTCGCCTCAAAGGTCTTCCCGCGCCGCAAGCGAATTCGTTTGCTCTCACGCCAGTCTCCCTGAGCGAGTTCTGAAAAGAGGTCGTAATCCCAGTTTTTTTTTCTTGTGATTGAAAGCGAGTTCGGAATTACCCCGCGGGTGTGGCTGCAGTTTGGACTCGACGAGATTCACAAGAAGCCAGCGTCAGAAATTAGCTTCCGACCGAAGCCCGACTGAATGACTCAGTGGCGTGGTGGCTGTTCGGCTGACTCTCTGGCCGCGATCTGAGTGAGTCTTTCAAAATCCAAACGAACATGAACCGAAATAGACCGCCAGTCGTTTCGCCAGTCAACCGGCGACATCATTGGAGGGAAGACAATAAGCGAAATTGGATCGAACAACAGGACGAAGCGGTAGGGGCAATGGGAATGAAGGCGACGAAGAGCGGAAAAAAGAGAGCGCTGTAAATAGCTTCGTTCCTGCGGCGGCGGATCGTAGATCCAGAATCGAAGCGGGATTCGAGAACTCTTCGGGTTCTCGCGGGGGTCGCTCTCTCGGGCCTTGCGAAAGATGCCCCAAATGCGATAGCAGGGAGTTTTCCGTGAACTAGGAGCAATGACAGGAGGCTTCTCGCGTGATCTCCGAAGGCCTGGAATGGGTAGAGGAACACGCGACCTCGTTCGTGGCATTATGACCGTTCCAGGAGGTATGGATCCAGCAGGTCCGGCGTTTTCGCCACATCGGGGCGCTCCGGAATGCGTCACCTTAGCGGGCGGTGTCCCCCTCGCAGAAGACGCAACGACCCTCCGACCACCTCGCCCATACTCCGAGAGACTCGAGTTTGATCGCAAGCAGTAGCGCGGGTCGACGCGGGACTCGCTCCGCCTGTGTCCGCTGCTCCCGTCCGCGATCGGGCAGTCGATCAAGGAAATATATTCCATTAATACCAGGTCTGCCGAAAACATCAGATCCCGTGGTTATCCGACTCGTAAACTCACTCAACGTTTGCGACATATCGAATTGGAAACTCGTCGTTGCTCGGTATGCGCGCGTGATGCTATCCGCAAGGAGGACGGAATCGCTCATCCTGGTGTCTGCCCCTGTACGGTTAGGCGATTGTTCCCAAACACTCCGTGATCGGTCGCGGAGGACCCCAAAATCACAGTGCGAAATCGTGAGCGAGGGGGGGAGACCATTCTCACGTGCACGGGACAGGAATCTTATTCCGCGTACCGAATCGTCCCATTTCTTCTGTTGAGAAGTTTTCTTCCTTTTCCTCCTCTCAGTCGCTACTGGCGCCTGCCACTATCGTTGGGATGGAAGCGGACAGCCCCGACCGTGAGTGCTTTGAGGCTACAGCGAGAAGAATGGGCGGCAGCAAGCGCGAACACAGTCACCTCTTTCCTCCTTCTCCTGTTCCTTCCCTGCTACCTAGCCGCCGCCGCCGCCACCACCCTCGGCCGGCGACGCATCCCGCCGGTCGCGGACAGCGAGCCCACGACGGACGTACGGGCCCGCCAGCGGGCCGGCCGGTCGTCTTAGCCAGAGGGCGTTATTCTTCTGTCGGAATCAAGTTCTCATTCAGTAGCGGCGCGTATTCCGGCGGCTCGCTTTGTTCTCCATGTGCCATATTGTATCGTCCCATACACGACAACGACTTCCCGGCATTTTTTTGGAAAATTCCGACGGGATGGCTTTTTCCAACCAGACTGAAAAGTGAGCGAAGACTGAAAACGCGAGCAATGAATTTCTGCGGGCTGGCGAGAGACAAACAAACGGAGCCAAATTAAAAACGAGCCCGACCACCCTCCCGAGACAACAAAGGCGATGGGATGGTGGACGGTACGTTGAACCGGGCAGATTTCGGAGCTATTGACTGAGCGAGTGAGCTCAGCTGACAGGCTCGCGTGCACGCATGCATGCCGCACTACGGAGGGAAAAGCTGACGTGGAGCGCGACGGGCCGGCCTCTGAAATTTCCGTTGTTTCTTTGCCCCGTCTGATACGCTGACCTTGCGCTCTGATGTTTTTGACGTGGAGAAACGGTGTCTGCGACCGGCGCATCACGCGCAGAAGCTACAGCAGGTCGGGAATTTCTCAAGAATCTTTATTGCCACACTCTTCTTCGGCCGAAGCAAGTGGAGACGGAAGCTCTGAATAAGCAAGCGATTCGACGACATGATTCTGCAAGCGATTCTGGATGACGCGCGAATCATGCAGGAGTATTGCGAAGTGATTTTTAGCTTTATTCGAGACGAGTTAGGAAATTCGCATAAGCCCCGAGCCTTGCGTTAGGAGTTTGTCTGGAGTTCATTCCAAATCTGGATTCGCTCCGGTTCCGACACTTTGGTGTGATGCCCGATGGCTGGCTACTTGGTCTTGGCCCTTCCGAATAAAGCTGATCACGCTCCAGATCTGAAGAGCAGAACTTGTCCGGAAGGGAAGAAACTCAATTTGGGGGATGATTGTTGAGCGGAATCATTCATCTTATTCATGCACTGGTTCAAGGCGACCTGACGTCCGGTATACATAGACAGCTCATGTGAATAAAATGGTATCCGTGCGGACAAAATCATCGGCGCCTTTTTCTCTCTACTTGTCTGACCAATGGGATCGCCTTCCGATGTCCAGAGTTTTCCACGGGGGAAAACTTCGTCCAAGACTCGTAGAGCGAGGCGTTGCTCCTCCGGGCCAATTGAAGTTCGGCTGGAATACCATAATTAGTAGATCATATTCCCGAGTAGAACACCGAAAATTCGCTTACCCGGTGATCCTCACGATGGGTCCCCGGACTATCTCATCCGCTCATTGCGAGCGCGGATTCCAAAACTGGTCGAAAGGATTTGGGAGTCTCGACGCTCAGCATATTCCCTTTCGGAACCAAGGGAAAGGAGCGAAAGACGATAGAGCGACGTTCGGGAAACTACAAATGTGTTTTATTCATGGTTCTCTCCTCTTGACGTGATCTCCGTTCTTCGCATCTCGCCCCGCCATGTTTTGCGTCAGTCATCCTCCTCGTTTTCGCCGCTCGTTTCGAGCAATGATCTCGCGCAGGTAACAGCAGAGGGGCGGTCGATATCACGCGTCATTTCTTGTGGTGTTCAGAAGCGGGTCGAAGCTGGGCTGGGAGTTTCGGCGACTTTTTCTAGGTGTTGTTGTTGTTGTTGTAGGAGTCAAGGTTGAGTTAAGGTGAGGGTTGAGACGTCAAAAAGAGTCTTAGCCGGAGTCGAGGCGGTCACCGTCGCCGTCAGTGACTGAGATAGGGTGGTTGCTGCGGTCGGCATCGGCGACGTCAGGGTCAAGGCGAGGCAGAGCTGAGCTCGTCGTGCTTGTGGAAAAATCCCTCGAAGTTGCCGGATCCGGAGAGGTCAGAGGCTATCGGTCGGATATATTGGACCAGGCAAAAAAGTATCCGTCGGTCAACGATTGGCGAGAACGGTTCGATCCACGCGGCGGGTGCTGCGTGTTAAGCAAGGGGAAGGAACTCGAATGCATGTATCGAGTCGGGTGCCTTCCTGTGGCCTTCTCGTCCCGCGCCGGGCGAAACATCGTTCGCGAGACAACTAAAAGGTCTGCCGATCCCTCCGGATCCCATGTTCTTTCTCACTCCTTCGATGGCGTCTGACTGAGACGAACAAGGTCGGGCGACTTGCCTGTCTGCGCGCCCGCTCACCCGTCCATCTGTCGGTCCAATGGGAGACATTCAATACTGGCAAGACTGCTACCGTCGGATGCCTATCACGGAATGCGACACAAGCAAGCACGGTTCGAAGAGAGTGGCACAAGAGGAAAAAAAATTCCATCAAAATTTATGCGCGGTTCGCTTCCGGCCGACGGCCTGCGAATCAGATGACTGACGTCAGGAAACAATAAGCGAGCCCTAACCCGGAGATAAAGTGAGACATCGGAGACTATACAACGCCTCCTGCGGGTCGGCGGGCAGTCTGGGAGGCGAGCGATGAGTGAGCGAACGGCCAACTCAGCGGTGAAAGGGAGTGTCCTGCGTTATATGCTAATAAACGAACAAATGGAACGTTTCCGCCCGGATCGGTCCGGGAACCTCTTCCATCTGCGGCTGATGAACAATCGAATCAAGAAAGGATAAATGTACAATACGACTGGCAAGGGAGCGATGATGGAGACGATCTATTCTATGATCCGACTCCGGGAACGTGACTCCCTCTCGACTTGTGCTGGGAGGAATATCCGAGGTGGAATACCCTGACCAGTGGCGGATCAAAACTGTGGGGGCGCCCCCACCCAACATCATTGGCGGTTGGCCTCTACCGAAAAAATCGCTGTTCCCCCCCGAGAAAAAAATCTGGATCCGCCACTGTCCCTGACGGTGAGAACCTACAGGGCGTCCGTCGTAGAATAGGAGTTTTCTTCGTGCTTGCTCTGAGGCGCATATTTCGGTCAAGGTTCCGTGGATGTTCGAAAATTAGGTGTCGTTGGAAAAATCCCGCATGAGCTTTGGAATGGAGGCATCGGGACGCAAGGAAGATGTGCAACCATTCGGAAAGAATTATTTCGGGAGTCGACGAGCTTCCTCGTCCTGCCTATGACGAATTCGGCCTACGCGTCGGGCTGATATTCCTTCCGTGCTCAGCCAACTCCGTCTGCACGTTTCGGCGAATTTTTCTCCTGAATCGGATTTTCTTTCCCGATAGTTTAGGACTCAATCGATGACGGAGCAAACAATTTCCCGATGGCAGACATCGTGGAACGAGCAGGACAGGGAACCCAGATTCGTCGCCGAACTTTCGGAAACGAGGCTGGGGACCCAGCAATAATTGGACCCGGGAATGTGCGTCTGCGCGAGATCTCCCCAACGACACCTAGTTTCCCTAAATGCAGCGAGCCCTGA